GGTGAAGGTTATTCATTTAAACAAACTTTGTAGACCTTCATCTCAGCATGCTACTGGCTAAATATCATAATCCTGGGCATTTTGGTTAATCAGAAGAAGTTGTTTAAAGTGGATTTTTTTAAAGAAAATTGACCCCTGTGACCTTAAATATAAATGAAGGTCATTCATTTGAAGACTCTGTAAACCTTCACCCAAGCATGCTAATGGCCAAATATCATCTCCCTGGCATTTTGGTTATTCTAAAGAAGTTGTTTAAAGTTTTTAACATATTTGACCTCGAAAATGGGTGAAGGTCATTTATTTTAACAAACTTTGTAGCGCTTCATCCCAGTTTGCATCTGGCCAAATATCATCACCCAAGGTCTTTTGGTTATTCAAAAGAAGTTGTTTAAAGCAAAATATTGACACTGGACGCCAGACACCGCGCCATGGCATAAGCTCACTTTGCCCTTTGGGCCAGGTGAGCTAAAAATGATAATTAAATTTGAAGTCCATGATTCTACATAATTTTATCTGGAATTTTTGTGTAAGCAATTTACTTTTTCAATTCTTCCAAAATTTCACCACTCATTTTAAGTAGGTCATTGTTCCTTTGGATATCCTCCTTCAGATCTTCAAAGCCACTTTTCAAACTGAAATATATAAAATATAATCATTAATACACAAATTAATCTCAGTTACATTAACAAATACTTACAGAATATAACCGTGATCACGAGACAAAACATCATTGCCAAGAAAAAATTAAATGTTTTTTAATTACTAAGGCTGCAACGATATATTGCGATACTTTAAATACAGTACGGTACTCAACGGTTCACCTACATTATTTTTTATGTATTTTGTTGTTTCTGAAATTAGTGTACACATGTCCGTTCAAACATGGTGAGTTAAGCCCCATCTCGGCATGCAAGTCGAAAGACGTGAATTGTATTGAACATTTTTAGTCATGCCCATTTTGGACGAAGTCTATTTACAGTAATAATTTTGCCAGTAAAAATTTGCAACATGTCTTTCTACTTTGCCTCTACTGTAACTACATGTATTGTGATTTGTATTGTATTGTCATGTTAATGTATCGTTGCAGCCCTAATAATTACACCTTGAAATGATCAAGATGATGTTGTATTTACAATTTTAAGAGGTTAAGCGAAGGTGGAGGGAATCAAACGTCCATAATTCACTATAAATGTCCTGGATCCATCCATCAATGAGACATAACAAGAAGCCAGCTGTACACACCTATTGTTGGCTTCCTCCAGGAGACTCCTGCGCGTATCCCTATCAATGCCATTACATGTGACCTGTTTCGGTCCCCGGGATCTAAGAGGGTCGGGATGTCTACTATGCAAGACCTCCATACATTCTTGACCTAGTTCTTCCACTATCTATAACATCATTGACATACAGATCATGACTTGAAGTTAGTCATTAAATTTACCAATAGCTTGGTAAAGGAATGTTTCCAGCATTTTACTTGCACAGAATATCTGATCAAAACTAACTGATGAAATACTGTTACTGAGTGACAACTGTTTTATCATAAATTGATAAGGATTTAAACAATTTTAAAGAGGCTGATGATACCATATAAAAATATATTTATAAGCACAACATATTTTTTCTATTTTCTTTTATTCAGTATTATTTTACATCATTGAAAACAAAGCAAAGCTAAAGCTTGAATTCACAAATTTGACACACTTTGCAAATCAACAATTTTCAAAAAAGCTTTATATTGGATGTGAGCCCAAGTGAGAATACACCAATGCCAGAATGGTACTAAATTTATCTGAATCCATTTATGTTTCACCTTGCTGAGACGCTTTTCAAAATCAATTCGTTTTTTCTCCAGTGATGCCAAGGATCGGTCTAATGAATCATTTTCTTTCCTTGTATTCACTGCTTTGCTGGAAAAAATGAGGAAAATAATAATAATTGTTTGATAAACTTGAAAGCCATTCTAGAAAAACAAATCATGAATCAAAGAATAATCCTTCAAATTTATAGAGTTTATTCTCTGTAGTTGTGAATAATAATCGTTTTGTGTGGCATTTTATTTTAAATTAATCTTTTCATACACAGAGCCAAATTTTAATGAAAATGTGAGAATTATTTCCCTTGCATTATAGATAGAGTGTTGGGAGGACAGAGAATCCTGAAACATGATCACCAACCATCACTGGTTGGGGAACCTCTATATCCACATGCACAATGTGGCAAGTATGAATTGTGTTCTATATCACCATTATTACCTGTAAAACCTGTGGAACATCTCATACTGTTTCTGTCCACGACTGTCACACGTTTCTAATAAGGACTTGGCTTTCATACATAGCTCTTCTAACTGGTTCCTAGAACAAACACAAATAACATTCAAACCTGTCCATGTGGCCAGTGACCTGTGTTAAGGTTAAATGATGCCTAACTGTAACATAACTCTTCCTCCCTAAAGAGTTCGACACTCGGAAGAAACTGGCAAAATATCTTCCATAAATGTAATCTTCCAGTTCTAGAAGCAAGGTTCTTAAGATGTAAAAATATCTAAAGTTGCCAAACACAAGGCTTGCAGAGTGATTGGTAATTTAGATTTTTTCATTTTTTTTTAAATATAAACTTATTTAGAAATAAGTTATTTCAACTTATAATAATCACTCTTGTTGGCCCAGATGTAAGTGTGCAGGGGGTCTTAATGTAAGAGGAAACCAGAGTACCTGTAACAAACCCATGTGATTTGGCAGTTGACGGCATACTTTGTCATGTCAGATCGAGGAATCGAACCCTGGCCGCTGTGGTAAAAGGCAAGTACGCTATCTACTGTGCCAACCGACCACCCTTAAAATCTTTTCTTGAGGGGTTAAGATCCACCCATCTCACCAGCAAGATGGTGAAAATTCTTTTTCTCTTGTACATGTATAGTTGATGCAATGCTGACGTTATGGAGGCCAATACACCACTGACATGATATTTAGACCTTGTTGACAAGACATCATAACCTAAGGCCCAAGGGCCTTAGCGGTCACCTGAGTTATATTATAGGTACTGGTAGCTTTATTTTATTGTTTAGATGTGATGTGGAAATCAGCATGTAAACTAAGCGAAATACAATACTTGTCATGTCATCAAAGGATAAGAATTTGAAAATATTGGTAAATTTTCCCTTTGAGGCGCAGCCCTAGCCCCTGGGGATGGGGCAGGAATCCCAATTTTACAAAGTAATACTCTCATTCACCAAAGATGATTCTGACTAAGTTTGAGTAATTTTCTGCTGAAAATGGATAAATCTACCCAAAAGTGTTATTTCCCTATATAAACTATAGTAAACTTGACCCCCTCCCCAAAAGAAGTTTTTGAAATATTGGTTAATTTTCCTTTTGGGGCCCGCCCTGGCCCGAGGGGTTGGGGTAGGAATCCCAATTTTACAGGACCAAGTTTGAAGAAAATCCATCCACTGGTTCTTGAGAAGAAGTTGAAAATGTAAAAGGTTTACGCACGATGGACGGCGCACGACGGACGGTGCACGACGGACGGAAAGCGATTAGAATTGGTCACTTGAGCAAAGCTCAGGTGACCTTAAAATGCTATGACGGGGGATTTCCCTTTGTTTCAACCCTAGGGTCAGACAAAAATATCTATCATCAGAAAAACTGTGGATACACCTGTAAAGGTAAGATACTGCACATGTATTCTCTTACTCTGGCAAGAGAATACATGTGCAGTATCCTACCTTTACTAGGACAGGTAAACTGTAATTATCTAAACTTTTTTCAAAGTACATGATACCACAGAATAATAAAACCAACCTTTCAAAAGCATGAGTGTCTTCCTCGGTCCTGTTGAGGTACTGTGCTTGTCTGTGCTCCTTGAAGTGTCGGACAATCCTCAGTATTATTTCTACAGTCACCTCTTGTCTCTCCTTGCTACAAAAATGCATAGTCAGATGTTTCTTTCAATTTCAACTTTTGAATTTCGTCTTGACTTTTTAAAATTTAATGACACTGTTATAAATTGGTAGTACTAACAATTAAAGGTTATATCAGTGATAAATTAAAAAATGTCAAGATATTATGATTTTTTTTAGTTCAAAAAGTATATATATATATATACCTGCACAATATACAACAGGAGGAAAAGATTGCCAATATTTTGATAGCTGAATGAAACAATCCTTGATGTATAGCAGAATTTTTTCTCATCTGAACAGTGGACTCCAGAATTCTACGTGGACCCCAACTGTATGAGTTAAATCAATGTCTGCCGGCATACTGGGTTCAAACAATGCACTGACATATGTCATAGCAAAGGCTCAGTGTGCAGCACCTTGTGAACAAGACGAGAAGACTAGTTTGATCCTTTGATGTACATCAAAAGAATCTTGCTGGCTTTGAAGTCGGGTGTCGCTCTTCTGAAATCTTCAAAGAACAAGCATCGGCCTGGTGATTGGTCAGGATTTTTTACCTGACACCAGTTAAATAGCTATGACATATTCCAGGGGTGTGGAGAGCGAAAGTGAGCGTAACCCCTGGTTATCGAGGATGAACTTTCTGTACCTCCTGACTGACTAGAAGACCTAGTAGGACGGGAATTCTTACCATCGATCTTGTTCGTCATTACAGCCAATGGCATTGTCCCAACTCATTTCAAGTTCTCTTTTGACGATTCGCTCTTGGTAGTTTGACAAAAGCTTACTGGTCCTTTTCAATTCATTCTTTATCTGAAAATTCCAAAAAGCATATTTACTGAATTATTAAATTTCAATATTTATGCAGCAGTATTTATATGTTGATGTATTGACTTTTAAATCTTAGAGTTGATTACTGTGCAAGTCTATAACAGCTTCTAACCTAGCTTTCTTTATTATTACAGCTTCTAACCTAGCTATCTTTATTATTACGGCTTCTAACCTAGCTATCTTTATTATTACAGCTTCTAACCTAGCTATCTTTATTATTACGGCTTCTAACCTAGCTATCTTTATTATTACGGCTTCTAACCTAGCTATCTTTATTATTACAGCTTCTAACCTAGCTATCTTTATTATAACAGTTTCTAACCTAGCTATCTTATCATAACAGCTTCAAACTTAGCTATCTTTATTATAACAGCTTCTAATCTAGCTATCTTTATTACAACAGCTTCTAACCTAGCTATCTTTATTATAACAGCTTCTAACCTAGCTATCTTTATTATAACAGCTTCTAACATAGCTATCTTTATTATAACAGCTTCTAAATATAACCTAGCTATCTTTATTACAACAGCTTCTAACATAGCTATGTTTATTATAACAGCTTCCAACCTAGCTAACTTTATTATAACATCTTCTAACCTAGCTATCTTTATTATAACAGCTTCTAACATAGCTATCTTTATTATAACAGCTTCTAAATATAACCTAGCTATCTTTATTACAACAGCTTCTAACCTAGCTATCTTTATTATAACAGCTTCTACCCTAGCTATCTTTATTATAACAGCTTCTAACCTAGCTATCTTTATCATAACAGCTTCTAACATAGCTATCTTATCATAACAGCTTCAAACTTGGCTATCTTTATTATCTTATCATAACAGCTTCAAACTTGGCTATCTTTATTATAACTGTTTCTAATCTAGCTATCTTTATTATAACAGCTTCTAACCGCTATCTTTATTATAACAGCTTCTAACCTACATGTAGCTATCTTTATCATAACAGCTTCTAACACAGCTATCTTATCATAACAGCTTCAAACTAAGCTATCTTTATTATAACTGTTTCTAATCTAGCTATCTTTATTATAACAGCTTCTAACCGCTATCTTTATTATAACAGCTTCTAACCTACATGTAGCTATCTTTAGCATAACAGCTTCTAACACAGCTATCTTATCATAACAGCTTCAAACTAAGCTATCTTTATTGTAACTGTTTCTAATCTAGCTATCTTTATTATAACAGCTTCTAACTTAGCTATCTTTATCATAACAGCTTCTAACATAGCTATCTTATCATAACAGCTTCAAACTTAGCTATCTTTATTATAACAGCTTCTAACCTAGCTATCTTTATCATAACAGCTTCTAACATAGCTATCTTATCATAACAGCTTCAAACTTAGCTATCTTTATTATAACTGTTTCTAATCTAGCTATCTTTATTTTAACAGCTTCTAACCACTATCTTTATTATAACAGCTTCTAACCTAGCTATCTTTATTATAACAGCTTCCAACATAGCTATCTTATCATAACAGCTTCAAACTTAGCTATCTTTATTATAACTGTTTCTAATCTAGCTATCTTTATTATAACAGCTTCTAACCACTATCTTTATTATAACAGCTTCCAACCTAGCCAGCCAAACTACAACAGTTTTTGACCTATTAAACTATTCACATTTTATTGAAGTACAGGTAGCAATGCCTGCATCCACTAATACCCTATTAAATCCTATTAAATAACAGTCAGATATAGGCAATTGAAAAAAAATTCACCGGCGTGATATTGATATAGTTATTCAGACTTACTTTATCAGCTGTAGTCTGCAGTTCCAGAGTGTTGGCTGCCGTACTTTTCTCTAGGTCTGCGAGTTGTGACGGGTTGATAGTATTGATGGCACTCAGGATCATGATCTTTTGCTGAGACTCACTAATAAAGTTGGTCATCATGGTGAGGTCCGAAGCACAATGCTCTCTTAGTCTGCTGTCATAACTCAACAAATGGGAAAATTCATGCTTGAGCTCATGTCTGAAATAAATGTGAAGATGTACTTAATAAGTAATTAAATAGAATTATATTTGCTGGCTTTTGAATTAAAAAATAATTCATCATATTTTGTATTACAAATTCGTAATTCCTCAACATTCTCTTCTGTAAAATATTTTTCTGTGTGTCTACTGCTGTTTCCAAGCACGAGGCAAAGATAAATTATAAACGTGTTCATTTTTATTAAAGTAGGCATTTAGTTTTCAAAAAGTTTCTAAAACAAAAATGTGTAAGGAGGATAAATCTTGACTTAACCCGCATTCAGGCTTAATTTTCAAGGGTTGACAGAACATATTATGGCAGTAAGGGTAACTCTGAAGGGAACCTTTTTCTTCATAACGCCTGATAAAAACACTTGATTGTGTCACAGCTCACAACTCAGTAGATGAATATTGATAAATCTTAAGCTGAAGCCCTGACCCGACTCTGAATTTCGCCAGTGTGTGTGGATGCCTAACTCAAGCAACTTTTCTTTTCTTTTCCTTTTTTATAGAATTTCAGGTCCTGAAATTGCTTTAGGTTCCATTTATTTTATTGCTTTAAAAAGAGAACTTACAGATGGAAATAATGCTGTTTTTTTCCCTCCTTTCTTTTAAATTGGTAATTATCATTTTCGTATTAGACAAAACATTCTTTTATTACAATGGTGTCTTGCCTGGACTTTGTGAAACATGGCTAAAATTCTCTAGACAAGCAAAGTTTCAATACATATTGATATCTCATAGAAAAACTGTGATTGGTAGAATCATACAATCTCCAGATGGTGTGATCACCAGCTGACATCAAAAAATCAAAATGATACTTACATGTAGCTCTGAACACTGAGTCTTTCTAATTCCATCTTCGTATGATACCGTCCGATTTCTTTACACAGTAAAAAGTTGATACCACAGCACATTTTAGCCATCTGTTGGTCATTTGCAATGTTCATGCTGCTGCCAAACTTTGGAAAGTCTGGACACCACGATTTGGGGAAAGTCCTCTGGTCATCAGAATGTTTCATAAACACAAATATTGGAGTCTTTTCACAAAACACAGATTTGGGGTACTGGTGAACGGGTGTCATGTTGTCAACAATGTTTTTTAAGAGATCCCCATCATGGATGAGTACCTGGTCCTGAATAGCTATGTCACTCTGCTCAGCAATGCAGTCCTGTAGTGTCGTGATTCTAGCACAAAGAAAACAAAATAATCATGGTTAAACGTGTTTGGCAAATAAATCCATAATCTTTCACAAATTGTTTTTGTACATCAGTACCTTGATCCTTTCTTTGGGGAAAAAGAGAGATAATTTTTTCAGCAGTTTCTATGCATTTTTGCATATATATTGAACATGAGTTCCGCAAGACGGTACATGATACGCCCGTCAGATGTAGAATGAGCAGTTTGCCACAAAGGGCCATAAGTGCATAAATTTTGGAGAGATAAGCGTCAAATCTTATCAAGCTTGTCCGAGCTTTAATGGCAATGAACCTTCCTACCAAGTTTGAAATTAATCTATTTAAAATTACTCAAGTTATTGAGCGGAAACTGTTTCGGCAATTCTACAAAGGGCCATAACTCCGTAAATAACCAGCGAATAATTTTGGTTATCCCAAGCTTTCATAGAAATGAACCTTCTTACGAAGTTTGAAATGAATCCATTCAAAATTACTGAAGTTATTGAGCAGAAACTGTTTCTGCAATTCTACAAAGGGCCATAACTCCGTAAATAACCAGCGAATAATTTTAGTTATCAAACTTGTCCGAGCTTTCATAGCAATGAACCATCCTATGAAGTTTGAAATGAATCCATTCAAAATTAATGAAGCTATTGAGCGGAAACTGTTTCGGCAATTCTTCAAAGGGCTATAATTGTGTAAATAACTTGTAAATTATTTTGGTTATCGAACTTGTCCGAGCTTTCATAGCAATGAACCTTCCTATGAAGTTTGAAATGAATCTATTCAAAATTACTGAAGTTATTGAGCAGACTCAATTTCGGCAATTCTAGAGAGGGCTATAACTCTGTAAATAACCAGCAAATAATTTTGGTTATCAAACTTGTCCGAGCTTTAATGGCAATGAACCTTCCTATGAAGTTTGAAATTAATCCATTTAAAATTACTCAAGTTATTGAGTGGAAACTGTTTCGGCAATTCTACAAAGGGCCATAACTCCGTAAATAACCCGCGAATAATTTTGGTTATCGAACTTGTCCGAGCTTTCATAGCAATAAACCTTCCTATGAAGTTTGAAATGAATCCATTCAAAATTACTCAAGTTATTGAGCAGAAACTGTTTCTGCAATTCTACAAAGGGCCATAACACCGGAAATAACCAGCAAATAATTTTGGTTATCGAACTCGTTGGAGCTTTCATGGTAATGAACCTTCCTGTTTAGTTTTAAATGAATCCATTCAAAATTACTCAAGTTATTGAGCGGAAACTAATGTGTGCCCGCCCGCCCACCCGTCCGCGTGAAAACATAATACGTACCGTCTATCGACGGGCGTATAAAAACCATTATATCTCGAAAATTGATTTTCTTTTCCCAATCTTGTGTCCACCACTTACCATCTGTGTTCTAAGGGTTCTGCTATCGATACAAAATATCTTCTCTACACACACCCTTTAAATAAGTCATGACAAAATCTAATGCATGCGGTAAGCTATTAGATTGGTTTCAAGTATAAAAGACAGACCAATCGCAAGATAACACCTATCCAATAAGGATTACAGAAAAGCAACACCCGACTTCGAAGCCAGCCAATTGTACCATAATGTTGCCATGCAATTCTCTCAATGTACATCAAAGAATCAAACTGGTCTACTTGATGGCACATACAGCCTTCAATTTTCATAATGACATGTTCAAAGGGTGTAGAATAAGAGATGATAAGCATATGGAGAGTGGAATCACATGATTTCAAAGATAACCACTTACTTGCTGTTTCCATCTATGTAAATCCTCATGTGCATCCAAGTGTTAGGACTGAAGGTATGGATAACAATCTTTGACATCAGCTTGTCAACTTTGTTGAAGAAATCGCCAAAGGATAATTTATACCTGTCGTTCCGCTCCAGTAAGCCAGCCAATATTGGAGTAAGGAACATCTTCAATCCCCTGATCAATAGATTATTCAAAATGTCACTAATTTAAAAATGATTCTGTAGCTATTATAAAGTTATAGACATTAATACACTATTAAAGCATTAACTCATTCACTCATGAAATTTCATAATGAACTTTTCCAACCTTTGAATTGGAAGGGTTCAAATATGTCTTCAGGGGTGAATGAGTTAATAAGATATTTATGTAATATTTGTGAAATCTTTCAATAATGAAAAGTCTTTATTAAAATAAATGTTCTTAAACTAAATATATAAATAAGGAAATTTCTCATTTTTTTTAACATATTCTTTCTTGTAAAATCATGCTTTGGTTTCTCAGACACAAACAAAGCTATTTGTTCCTCTCATTAAATGATTCCCCAATTAACATGAAATGAGTATTTCATTTAGTGTTTCATTCACATTATTAATTCAACTTTTCTAGATTTCATTGAAATTCCAAGAATTTAAAGAATTTATAAATGTCCAAGACAATGAAGAACCTGAGTCAAAACCACAACTTACAGGGAGAGTCGACAGGTAAGAGGTAGTTCTTTGCTCCACTCAATCTTGCCGTTTTCGGATTGCTGTATTCCCGATATGTAGCCCGGTTCCTTGTTTTTGGTTATTTCATACCTGTAAAAAGTATTAGATGTGGAAAAAATGAGCTTATTAAAAAGCATATCTGTTGTATTACTTCACTGTGATGGAGTTCGAAGACAATATTTAATTTTTCAATTCATGAAAACATATCATTTGTACTTAATCACAAAAAAATATTAAAAGAAACATCACTTGTCATGGGATTACCTCCCTTACTTACATGGTCACTCTATTCTTTCTTCCTCCAAAAGGTCTAAATGGCAATCGACCAGTCGCTGCGTGAAAAATAGTGACTCCCAAACTCCAAAGGTCGACAGTGGCATCGAAGATCTTCTCCTTATTCTTGTCCCTCATAACAGCACAGCCATAGATGTCTGGATGCTGTGATAATATCAGAAATTAATATTTAATTTCAAAATTGTTTTCAGAAACAATCTTGGTCTTATAACAAAACAAACTCAACGACATATAGTTAAATTCTATAACTTGTTACTAGAATACAGGTCAAGACAAAAACTGTAATTGCCAGACAATTAAAATGCAATGTTGCAATTGAAATTCTGTTGTGATAACGCGTCAAAATACCATTTTATGAAAAAGTGGAATAAGCAGAGCCTAGATTCATATTATACAATTTTTTAATAAAGTGATAAAGTGGAACTGAGAATATTTGGGAACATATGACTAGTAAAATGTCACAGCTTACACATATCAGCCAACCACAATCTTTGAAACAAATGTGACAGTTTGGAATGTAAAGCTGCGAAAGACTACACAAATGTTTTATGTTACACAGTAAGGAAGCTATTCCTTGTATCAGTAATATATTATATACAATAAGTGAGTACTTACCAAATATTCCTCAGTACCATATAAGGACACAAACTGTTCTTCCTCGTACTGTAATTCCTTTGCTGCTCCAAAGTCAGTCAACTTGAACACAAATCTGTTTTAAAATAACCACCAATATAGACATTTTCAATTAAAGTGTTATAAGGACATATTCTTAGGATTCATATTAAGAAAAATTCTACAACACTATTTTCCCTTAACAATTAATAATCTCTTCATTACAAGTAACATTAGAAAAAACAATGTGCACAATACAATTTCTGTGGGTGATACCGAGTCAATATGATACTGGCACTGGAAATTTTGTATCTGGTCGTGGCCCAAAATGAGAAGCTCACCAAATTGAATGCACACCACGACCAAAACACACTACAGTCTTGATTATCACTATAGAAATATGAGTTAAGAATGGTGTCTAAATCACATTATTCTCACTCTTGTCTTTTCTTTTGTCATTGCAAACAGGTAAAAAAAGCCAAAGTAAGGGAATTAATAATTGGAACATTAATCCTTCCCGTTCAAATACCTCAAGTTATTAGGCCTGTCACACTGCCTCTGTGTACATGAACTTTGGCCTCGGACTCGTATCACAGACCTTGACGTAATAACTCGGCCAATATAACTATCAGTAAAAACATGTACTACAAACCGTACATGAGGTGTTGAGTATATCCTTTATTACTTAGCCTAACCCTATACAGTTCAATAAAGTCCCTAGTTCTGGTGAATTCTTACCTTCCATCTTCTCCTTTATAGCAAAGGATGTTTCCTGGTTTCACATCACGGTGAACAATGCCTTTCTCATGAAGATATTTCATTCCTTTTGCTGAAACAGTAAAACCAATTTATATTTTCTATTTACCAGATATCAGTACAGGCAGTACCAGGTAACCTATTACAGTGTTATTTTACAACAGTCTGTCTATTGAAATTTGGATATATTCCCATTTTCTGATCATTTTGGGAAAATAAGGCACATTTTAGCTATGGGAAACAACCTGTGTTTGGCTGTAAAACTGAAAAAAAGATCACTGTATTATACAATAAGAAATTCCAATTAATTATGCATGTACAGGCCATTGATTAGAGAATGAAATACTCAATTATATAAACTGAAATTGAAATATTGACCCATGTCCTTTAAAAGCTGACTTTTCTACAATAACAAACAAGCCTTAAACTACCTGGTATGTACCTACCTACATGCTTTAGCACAAGCAGAAACTCTGTTTCCTCCAGTCCGTAAGCATTTTTTGGATCATCCAGCATATTGTAGAGACTTCCACAGGTAGATAACTCCATGACAATCACTTTATTTCCCGTTCCAATCTGTCAGACAATAAGTTTCACATGATAATCACTTTATTACCCATTCCAATCTGTCAGACAATAAGTTTCACATGATAATCACTTAATTTCCCGTTCCAATCTGTCAGACAATAAGTTTTACATGATAATCACTTTATTACCCGTTCCAATCTGTCAGACAAAAAGTTTCACATGATAATCACTTTATTTCCGGTTCCAATCTGTCAGACAATAAGTTTCACATGATAATCACTTTATTTCCCGTTCCAATCTGTCAGACAAAAAGTTTCACATGACAATCACTTTATTACCTATTCCAATCTAATCAAAAATATAGCTTCTATCTTATTTTTTCATACATCCTTTTCACCAAAAACATTTCTTTTTTATCAAAATCTCCCTTCCCTAAAACCAAAAAAAAAATGTCAATGAGCCAATACAAAATATGCTTTATGTATTTCAAATGTTTTTTGACTTCGCACTTTTCAGGGTCAATGTTATTTAACCTTTGAAATTGCGAAATGCCAATGGCTGACTAAAGGTGCTGAGTGGTTTCAAAATAGAAACGTTTATGGTATGTTTGCTGTTCAAAATGTATTAAAGTCTTGTCAGATTTAGGCATGTGTCTGTGTTCCGTCTTCAGTGTTAACCGTTGTACTTTTATAAAAGTTATAACAGTCAGAATGTGATAATTTATAAGACCACCCTGTCAAAAAATGAAATCATGTACAATATTTTTTGTGAATTATTGAATTTATCACCTTATTTTATTAAAATACTGTATACACATCAAATATTAGTTGCAATTGATATTATTTGACTCACATTTAAAGTTGTATAAAAACCTGATACTTTTACATCTGTTATACCACAGCAGTAAATCTATGGCATTTAACCACGTGCACGTACATATGTAGCCATGGTGTCACAGAAGTCATAATTGACTGCATGAGTCACCCCTACAGGACAGACATGTCATTCTAAACCAACCTCTTGTTCCAAGTCCAGCATCTTGACAATATTCATGTGGTCCATCTTCTTCATGAGTGAGTACTCCCTCATTTGGACCTCAAAAGGTCTGAGGGCGGCGGCCGACGTAAACACCTTTACTGCCACCTCTTCCCCTGTGATCTACAGTAGGTAAATACATTTGTGGAAATAACCATTTCTATAAATAACTCAGTGCTCTAGCTAGCTATTCATGAGAACTCAGAAGGGAGATGACTCTACTGGAAATTATGGTCAATTAGCATAATATTGTTTAAGTTCTATTTATAGGGAAAAGGGAGATAACTCTTGTGAACCTAAAACTAAAAGCAAAAGATCCGATTTTTGGTTGCTGATGGTCATTTTAATGACTCAGGGAACCTAATTTTAACAATTTTTACACACTAAATTTATATACACTTTTGATCAAATGACCATAAACGATAAATTAAATGAACTGCATTGAAAGAACTCTTTTACATACTTAATTATGCAGATGTTTTCGCAGAGAATAACTTTAAAAAGTATTCAAGTGCCTAAATTTTATGGAAACGGAAATTTGCATTACCTTATTCCTGCCACGATAGACTTTACTTGTAGCTCCCTGGCCCAGCATCTTTGTGACCTCCCACATGTAATGTTTGGATCCTCTCAGTGTAGATTGTGCCATGGTGTTTAAAGTTATTTCTAATTAATGGATGGATGGTATGTAATAAATAAATTAGTGAATGATGTTAAATACTCAGTGATGATGGGTATCTGCAAAAGAAGAAAAAAACACATTAAGTGCACTTGTCAAGTTAAGGAAACATGCATCCCAGGAAAGAATCTTATAGTAGGAATCTCCATTCCTAAGAATGTATTACACGAAACTTTTAACAAAACGTCCACTTTACAAGATTGTAAATTTCACCAAGGACATAATTCCCTGTATCAGTTTAAATTCACACTGATGAACGGGAAGTAAGTGAGACATAGAGGTCAATCCAACACTGATGCACGGGAAGTGAGACATAGAGGTCAATCCATAGCCATGGATGGGTTGTATTGTGTGGCACCATTATGAAGAATGTGAATTTCTGACAACATTATGGACATAAGCAAGAGGAGTAAATACCAGTACACTTTCATAGCACAACTGCAGGTTAGTATGAAAGTCTTATACTGTTTTTTTAAGTTCATTTAGTGGCATACATCAACTATAATAACGGCAGTACTAGGGATAATTAGGTCAAGTAATATGTTTGAAAAATTGACAGTTTGTTTCTAGTGTATTTGTTTGTGAAATAAATAAATAAAAAGTACTGCTTATATTATATACAGCTGTAAATTTTCATCTTCCATTTATAAATATTCAATTCCCTTTGCCCAAAGATTCTCTAGAACAAGTTTGGTTAAAATCCCTTCAACGGTACAGAAGGAGAAGGATCTTTAATGTTTTCCTCTATTTCCTCTATTGGGCCCTGCCCCTCCGCCCCCAGAGGGGCCACACCCTTCGTTTATACAAAATTGAGGCTCCTTTGTCGAGAGATGCTCTAGAACAATTTTGGTCAAAATCCTTCTATTGGTTGAAAAGAAGAAGATTTTTAAAGATTTACCTAATTTCCCCCGCCCCTCTGCCCCCAGGAGGACCATACCCTCCGTTTATACAAAACTGAGAACTCTTTGGCCAATGATGCTCCAGACCAAAATCCTCTGAGCCATTCAGGTCTAGTAGCGTTTTAAAGGGAAAAGTTGATGGACAACGGACACTGTGCCATGGGATAAGCTCACTTGGCCCTTCGGGCCAGGTGAGCTTAAAATGGATGTTCTTTCTTTAGAAAACTATATAGTTAATAATAGATAGTAGTTAACAAGGATTTGTTTAATTTGGCTTTTTCAAAGAATATGATTCACATAAACTGTGAATGGCCTCTGATGCAATATTCAGCACTGTACTTCCCTGCTTTGAATTTCCTTATTTGATTGGATAATGCATGTCACATGATGACATAATCAATTATTGTATCCTGTCACTAATACTGACTGAATATCGTATACAGAAATGTATATATCTAGCAAGCAAAACAGTCCATTGTCTAACTAGATATGACATTAATATGGTTTGTGAGGGTGTCCAATGATGCTTTTTATATCTAAGTCCTGCCCTCACAAACCAGGTAAATACCATATCCAGTGAGAAAAACACTCCAATAAATCTAACTAGATATGACAATAATCCTGTTTGTGAACATAAGGCTTAAGCTTTTACTGCCCAATTAAAACATCAGAAACCAGATACATGATGTATTGTGTACAGTTAACTAATTAGGTGCCTAATTTGGTGTGGGAGAGTAATATTATTTTGATTCCATGCTTTCTGATGAGATATATCATATTTGGTTAGTAAACTACTTCCTTTTCCAACTAGATATGACATTAATCTGGTCTGTTAGTTTGAGACTTTCACCCTGAATATCAACCCTCTCAAAGTAGGGTTATATTGTCTTATTACCCCTTTGAGAAAAATCTAGGAATCTGATTGTATCTCTTTGTATCTTGCGGCCGGGCAACTGGAGACAACTCGCATTCGTCGTCTGCCTCGCTGTTTACAAAATGTCAAAACGTTTCGCTTTGCATACTGGTTTGTTGATTTATTTTATTGTTATTTTTCTTTGTTTTAATTATAAAAGACTCAAAGGGGTAATAAATTCGTTACACAGATTTTTGGCAGGATATACGGGATGATATGACCCTAAAGGGTTTTGTATTTCCTGAGGCCAATAGGCTTCGCATACTGATTTGTTGATTTATTTTATTGTTATTTTTCTTTGTTTTATTATAAAAGACTCAAAGGGGTAATAAATTCGTTAGACAGATTTTTGGCAGGGTATACAGGATGGTATGACCCTACAGGATTTTGTATTTCCATCGGCCTCAGGAAATACAACAAGAGGCCCAGAGGGCCTGTATCGCTCACCTGAATATAATTAAAGTAATTGGTATGAAGTAAAGATATAGCAATCTATGGAAGGTGCTGTAACTACATATGAAATTTCAGAAAGATCCATCCAGTACTTGAGATAAAGAGAACAAACTTCAAACAGAGCCCCACCCCTATGCCCCTAGGGGGTCATACCCACCAATTATACAAAATTGAGTCACCGTCACCCAAGGATGCTCCACACTAAATAAGGATAAAATCCCTTAATCCCGATGGTCTGAAAAGGATTTTAAAGGTTTTACCCTATTTCTCTAATTGGGCCCCGCCCTTTTGCCCCCCTCGGAGACCACACCTACTGATAATACAAAATTGAGTCCCCTTGGCCCAAGGATGCTCCAGACTAAATTAGGATAAAATCCCTTAATCCCTATGGTAGAAGAAGGATTCTAAAGGTTTTACCTCTATTTTCCCTATTGGGCCCCGCCTCTCTGCCTACAGAGGGGTCAGACACACCGTTTATACAAAATTGGTTCCCCTTCACCCAAGAATGCTTCAGACCAAATATGGACCAAATCCTGTCATTCCTACCGAAGAAGAAGGATTTTGAAGATTTACGTCTATTTCCCCTATTGGGCCCCACCCCTCAGGTCCCAGGGGTGCCACACCCACCATTTATACAAAATTGGTTCCCCTTTACCCAAAGATGTTCCACACCAAATCCTTTCATTCCTACAGAAGAATAAGGATTTTAAAGAATAATTTGCTATGTTTCTCCTCTTGGGCCCTGCCCCTCAGGCCACTGGGGGGCCAGAACCCTTGATTTACACAAAATTGGATCCCCTTCACCGAAGGATGCTTCAGACCAAATATGGAACAAATCCTTTCATTCCTACAGAAGAAGGATTTTAAAGAATAATTTGCTATGTTTCCCCTATTGGGCTCCGCCCATCAGGCCCCTGGGGAGTCAGACCCATGGTTTATACAAAATTGGTTCCCCACTACCCACGGATGCTCCACACCAAATATGGACCAAATCATTTTATTCCTACAGAAGAAGGATTTTAAAAGAATAATTTGCTATGTTTCCCATATTAGGCCCCACCGCTCAGGCACCTGGCGGGCCAGATTCATGGTTTATACAAAATTGGTTCCCCTTCACCCAAGAATGCTTCAGATCAAATATGGGACAAATCCTTCCATTCCTACAGAAGAAGAAGGATTTTAAAGAATTTGCTACATTTCCCCTATTGGGCCTCGCCCCTCAGCCCCCAGGGGGGCCAGACCCACTATTTATACAAATTTTGTTCCCCTTCCCCCAAGGATGCTTCTGACCAAATATGGAACAAATCCTTTCATTTCTACAGAAGAAGAAGGATTTTAAAGAAGAATTTGCTATATTTCTCCTATTTGGCCCCACCCTTCAGGCCCCTGGGGGGCCAGACCCACCATTTATAAAAAAAATTGGTTCCTCTTCACCCAAGGATGCTCCACACCAAATTTTGTAAAAATCCGCTTAGTGGTTCATGACTAGTAGTGTAAAGGTGATAGTCGACGGACGCTGCGGTATATATGGCATAAGCTCACCTTGGTCCTTCGGACCAGGTGAGCTAAAAACCTTTAGGGTCATACCATCCTGTATACCTTGCCAAAATTCCGTGTAACTAATATTATTCCATGCTCACTTGATATCCAGTATTAAAATACTCCATTTACTGACTAGATATGACATTGGTTTAATCTTGTAGCTTGTATTTCCCAATTGTTATAAAAGTTATGCCAGTTAAAACATTTTATTACAAATTGACAAAATGGATATGAATTGGAAAAAAATATGGTGTGATAAGGGGGGGGGGTATCATTCTATCTTTACAAACCAGATTTTTACCATATCCAGTCTATTAACTGACTAGATATGGAAGTTATTTGGATGCAGGTGAGGGGAGTTGTTTTGCCCAATTTTATCCTCGCAAACCATATTTGTATCATAAATCAGTAAAACACTTAACTTGCAGACTGGATATATATATGAACTTTGGTATCTGATTATGAGGGTTGTACTGGCTTCAATCCTCAGTTAAAACAATCTATTAACTGTGTATCTGTGGTACATATGGAATGGATTGCATTTAAAAGCACCCTTAGAAGTGATTCAACGCTTAGTGAACAGTGTCAACTTCAAAGAACCTGAATGACAATATCTGATACTTAAGGATTGTATTGCCCAATTCAACTCATTGTATTGCCTAGTTCTACTCACATATATACGATAAATAGCATATAGGGTAGTAAATTATTTCAATAACCAACAAAATCCTTTAGTTTTTGGTGAATATAAACTTACCGTTATATTTACATTAATGGAATGATGCTATGGTAGGTTGCTATTCACAGATCATATATTGGTAGTCTTTTTGTCGGAGAAATGCTTGATGCGCTAACTTGTCATTATATGTCTCCATGAAGAGTTGTTTTTTCTTGTTTATTCGGTGGTGATCTTTGCACATAACATTTGTCATTGAACGTTTGTCTTTTCTCCTTTGTTGGTGTTTAGACATAGGAAAAGGCACATCTGTAACAGAAAAAAATGTTAAAACATTATAACTACAGTATACTGTGTTCTCATTAAATGCTGAGGCTAAGTTGCAAGATAGATTGCTATTGTTTAACTTTGAACCAGCTGTTATTTCAAAATATGAATAGCTAGAACCACCTTTTTCACAACTTGGCGATAACATGACTATACGGTTAAGACATATTACATGTATATATATATATCTATTGCGCATATTATTGTACCAGCAAGCAAGTTGCAAGACTGAAAAACGAAATTTTAAGCTTTTGTAAATCAGCACGGGCTGAAAATTGTATTGTTTAATATTGAATTGTGCAGAGAGAAAAAAACTACTTTGTGCATCAAAATTGTCAAGAAATTGCTCAACAATTAAAGTGGAAGTGAAACAATACACTATAGGTGGTATGCAAATTATCGGAAGAATCATCACCACAAATGTGTATCCGTCTGATCACAAATTGAAATAAAACATCACTATAACCATACACCTCCTTCTTCGTTGGTCGTTCTATTCCACACAAACTAATCCTGTTAGCTAGATCTGTTTAAACCCGGTAGGCCTACCTCGTAGTGGCGGAACAAATATCCAACACATTTTTGGATTTTCCCAAATTTATTGAGGATGTCCAAATGAAAATAATCCATAATTTTTCTTGGAAAAAATCCATGCTATGGGATTCCTTTAGCGGGAAAAAAGTCATGGTCTGAAAATGCTCACTGCAGCCGTGTAGACCATACAATTTCGGTTGGCCAAGTTTTACGCTGTAGCTATGTATAGAGTCGTCACGAGGATAACTAAAAGGTTTGAGCTTCCTCGATATATCGTCGACACAATATAGGTGGCCTTTCCATCCCGAGGTCTCTTGGCCTTTGGCCCAAAGCCTACATTTAGAGCTGACATCATTCTACTCATTGAATCGGAAACTTCTTTCATATTCAAACAAAAAACTAAACCGTCCTCCAATGGTCACTCACCTGTCGACCTTTCCTTAAATTTATATTTAGAAGGCTTTACAGTTCTGTTCCAGAACAACTGATGAATGTTTCATAAGATGCGCTGTCAGAATCCCCAGTCCTATTTCTTCATTCACGTTGTAATTTTAAGGCTAGTGTGGAAAACTGCAAGTTCCTATTCGTGCAAAGTGTTTATTTTGTTTACAAAATTGAATGCAGCCATCCTCCCAAGCTGATATCTTGGCTAATGATCAATCCACTCTGTAAATATCAACAAACTGTGTGGTTTTTACAAAATGCTAATTCCTACTCCGAGCGAAACGAACCAATAAGAGCACATGAGTCTGACGTTTTATATTGTATAAGGTGGTTTTTTTTACAGATAGTTACAGTTATATATAATGATAAAACGTCAGACTCCTGTCGGAAAAAAGTACAAAGGGTGATATTGACGGATTATTTCTTCAATTTGATGAAAGCACAGGCGTAATAACATCCAATGAACAAGTTGGGTTTGTCGTTTGATTTTAAAGAAAAAAAACAATTTTAAATTTAAATTCTTGCAAGGCCACTTTTGACTATATTCGGAACAAGGCATTGCCATTTTTAATTTCTTTGTTATGCTTTGAAACTGCTTATCAATATTTTGCCTATATATATATACTGTCTTTTAAAAATCCCGTGTTGATACAGGACTAAAGAGATAAAACAGAATGTTTTACCAGGTTTGAATTATCGAGGCTGTAAAAGTAGTTCTTCATTTGCTAATTTACATGTACATATATTTAGAACATCGGTACCAGTTTGTTATGTAATTTATTTGAGGCAATCTGAAATTTAATGGAGAAACTTGATGTTTCTTTCCAGTTTTCAACAATCTCGAGTCTTTGATGCGTTAATAAAGCGTTAAAACATGCCAGATGTAATCACGACTTAGATAGCAAATCCAATTCCGTGATGTAGTTTATCAATCAACGCTAACATTACTTGTTCAATATTTAATTTTGCTATAAAATACACGAGTGAAAAAAAACTTACGCATGCGATTCCTATGAGCAAACAGGGTGAAACCGAAATGCGCATCTATGCGTGTTTCAATGTGTCAAAAACTTTTTTTTCAAAATAAACTCAATTACAAAACGTCATTAAATATTTATATAGATTTCTTCTCGTCCTGCTGTACACGGAGTGTGGCCTTTTGCAGACGATTGAATACTTTTCCGTTTGGTTAACAGCGTCAAGGACAGTCTACTACAACATTCAAGCAGGTACAGCAATGAAAAGATGTCAGGTAGATTACGTTTCTACAAAATATTATGGCTTTCTTAAGAAATGTGGAATGAAATGGTTTTCAAATAACACATTCCTTCTTTTATTACAAGAGTTTTCGTTGATATGTATGCGGTTGTAAACCATCTTGGAACATATTTTGGTAAAACCTTGACAATGGCCGAGATGACATGATTGAGTTCCTGGTTGACAATATCTTTTTCGAATTCGTTGGCAAGACCTACTAGCAGACTGTCCACATTTCCATTGGAACAAACTGTGCCTTCTCTAGACATACTTGTTTTTGTTTTTATATACTTATCAGAGAACTTGTCAGGACTAATAACAGGAACATTGCCTAGCCATTCTATTTCACTTTCAGATAAGTCGAAGATTTGTAATCTTAAAAACACCTCAAGGTTCGAGAAGATTTGTAATCTTAAAAACACCTCAAGGTTAGAGAGATGCAATTTGACGAAGAATATGGAAAGATATTATTTTTCCTTTTGTGATATGGAGGTCTATGTTTCTTCTTACGCTAATTAATTCGCCTTGTATAGTTTCTTTGTCACTACCACAGTTCCCTCTTTGAGGATGTGCCATTACTTGTTCGACATAGATTTATATGGCGGATGTCTTCGATGAACCAGAAGTCTTTGGATCACCTCGTCCTTTTCCTTGTGCTTCCATGTAAATCTATCCCTTGTTAATATTTTGTCGTACTTGCATCACTTGATTTCGAGTTACGGGTTTGTTCAGACTTCAATATTCTCTCGTTTAATTTGTTTCAGACCAAATCTAAAGCAACATACAGTAAACATACTTTCATATGTACTGTCTGGTCTCCTGATCAAGATTGTGAAAGAATATTCAATACTGTTTCTACATGGTTTACTTTTTCTCGTCATTATTTCTTCCAATGTTGTGCAATCATCAACCATTTGATATCTGTTCCAGAGAGAATTTAATTGATGAACTGTGCAAACTCAAATGTATTTAATTTGTCTTCCAACGTGCATTTAAGATTTGTTTTGTTTACGGACTGTTATGTAGTGTAATAATACAATCACATGAATATCTGATATAAATATAACTATTGTGTAACATGAGTAATATCACCGTTTCTGACGTCGATGCTGTTACAATGCCACTGCAAACTTGCGTTGTTTACTGATGTGTTTTTTTAATTTTTATTACATAAGACAAATATGTTTTATTGAAATATGGTTTGGTTGAGTATCTGATTAAAAGAATATCAAACCCATTCCCATTACATGTGGTATTTGTGAAACGAGCTATGGTTTAAAGTTTGTTTCATAAAACTTCAGATTTAGTATCTAATCCCGGTATATATTGACAGCCACCACCTGATGTTGTTGTAGTGTTCAGCTAGATTTATTCAGATAACTTTACATTTAAAACGCTACAAGCCAGCTTCTGCAACCTAGACATATTTGAATATTTTATTTCATAATGATTTTATTTAAATATGTTGAGTAACGTTAGATTTTTAAATATATTTTGCAAATGAATTGGAAGAAATGTTTTGTCCAATGACTCATACACAACAATCCATTTACGTCAGTATTCACAGGTTTCTACAGCTATTTTTTTGGGATAATTTTCAGTGTGGCTCTACTGAATTATCGACGTATAACAGCACTGTTAAATGTTTTTAGCAGAACATCCGATATACTAGAGTGAACTGTTCAAGGCAAGGTCGTGCGGGTTTGGTGTAGATAAATGTCTAGATAGAAGCTAGTATCGTAATCAAAATACTGATATGCTTTAAAAACATTTAAAAACTTTTGTTTATAATCCCACTGAACAAAAGACGTGCATTGGAGCATTGCATGAAAAACCCGTTATTAATTCAGAATTACTTTGTCTCACGTACTTGTTGAATTACCAATTGTTTTATCGTCTTGGTGACGTATTCGAGTGCCGTGCAGCTCACGTTGTCGTCGTTGTCGTCTGCCTCAGAAGTAGTAGCATGTCCCAATCAATTTACACTTTAGACAACAACCTGTAACGACAGATAAAAACATTCACTTTATCGCTGATAGTGGACGATTGACGCACTCTATGGAAGTACATATTAGTGTATTATCACTGTAAAAAACGACAGCCTAACAATTGTACAGCCATAAGATTACACTACTAACCAAGGAGACATTAAAGCAATTCAATGTTTCAGTTGGCATGCATAGCCAAACTGAATGACAACTGAAACATGTAAAATTTCATGGAGAGCGCTTCATGTTGAATTCGTTCTTTCTGGTTTTACAAAGCGCTCTAACCTTTCATGTTTAATGTGTTCAACGCTTACATAACAGTAAGAACTCCTACATGTGAATTTTTTCCAATCAAAAACTTTCCAGTTTTTTTCGTTATATGCTAGGCCAATCGGGGACAAATCATGGCGTGACGTCAAATTCAAATAGCGCAAATTCCCGCATGTAATTAAATTGTCGCTTGTTGCCTAGGAAAACTGGTTATAATAGAAACCCAACTGTGTCTGCAAAAGGGTGGTCACCTATTTGGTAAAACGATATGTTTAAAAATATACATGTATCATGGAAATCGTCCAGAAAGATCATTTTGTTTTTCAAATGCAACCAGGGTTTGTTACCATTTGTTTAGGTATGTAACGCATCTCCGTTCGATAGCGCATTCTGGAGACTGTTTAAAAGGGACTCTATTGTATAACATCATAATATATTAACCTATTCACCCCTGAAGTCACATTTGAACCCTACCGAATTAATGACTGGTCGATTGAGTTAAAAATATGCATTCCTTTCAATCTTAAAATAAAGCCAGCACATGAAATGCTGACGTCACAAGGAGTGCAATAATGTCACTGACTTTGCAGCATAGGCCCCAGGTATAATTATTTATCACCAATAAAGTGTAGGGTTCTTGAGCGTGCTTAAAGAACGACACTACTCTGCGCTCGTAAATTATGTTACGATGACGTGTAATAATACAAAAGATTGAAGCAATCGAAGAAAATATGGGCACATGGAAAATTTGTAATGTACACCATGAGAATGACATAGACAATACACGCACACAATGTGGTTTACCTTCTTAAAGTTTTATGTTTCTTAGAGCTCCCAACTTAACGATTAATAAGTACAATTGTACTTGAATGTACAGGACAACAGCAACATATCCGACTACAGCATATCCAAACAAACAATCTTTCGAACTCTCAATTGACCAAACTTTCCATTATTCGAACATTATGTCCTACCAACCAAATTTTGTTAACGATTAAGTGCATTACAAACTTAAAATAGAATTCAGACAATACCACAACACGTTTTTGTTCAGTGATATTATCCAGACGAATCCTTCCAAGTAATAGTTAAATTAGTGTAATGTTTTCGTATCACGACTTGATACACAAGATAATTAGCAGGTTGTTCTGTTTATATTTACATAACGTAATCAGCGTCATTTCGTATTTCGTAAAGTTGGTACTAAAATAGCAGCTACTTCACACCGGAGTTTCATGTATACAACGTGTCATGCATTAGTGTATCAATTGGTTGTTTGAGAGAAATAAAATAAGGTGTCTATAATCTTATTGGTGTACTTCAAGGAGACCATAAACATGCCTTACTTTTTTAAGTTATTAAAATTCAACACTTCCTTGGCCATATTAAATTGTAATTCAAAATGGATACCAATTAGGTTAAGGGAACTGTGATTTATTATTGTAAAACCTTCAACATAGAATATCATTTCTGTGTTAATAGACGTGTTCGGTTTGAAAAGAACTCAAGCATTCACATATTTGAAAGTCCACCTTGATACGTATTGTCAAACATCGATTTTGCAGCGCGTTCATTTTATATGCCCGCCGATCCTAAAATGAGCGCAGGACCCACTGTTTTCATCAGTTTCTGATTAATCAATCAAATCGATTTCACTACATTTTGGTCGTTACGATAATGGAGTAATTTTAACCAACCGAGGAATAGGCAAACGTTGTAAGTATAGACGTGTCACCGATACCTTCAATGAAAACTGCATGGGTTCCGTTCACGGTCGTCTGTACCACAGTTCGAGAGCCGGACGTAAGATCAGGGATTTTCCTAGTAAACGTTGGTCTTTCCAATTTTCAAGAATCTAAAATGTGGTATTTCGCGTTGAAATAACTTCTTTGAGTGCACAGAAAAGTGAATTTCTATAATAAAAGACATCAGCAGATACCTGCAATTTTAGAAAGTACTTAGATCTTCCGATGACTGTGTTGTTCTTTACGGCAATATATTGGCCCTTATTGATACACACACAAAATGAAAGGACGGGCTTGACGTGGCTTTGGCGACGTCCATATTTTCTTCTAATCTGTGCTATAAATACAGCGTTTCCAAGAAGAAGGCATTCTGATAATTTATGGCAGTAATACACACTTTAAATGTATATTCGAAGTTACCAGTAAATTGGGGAACCATTCGACGACGAACCAACACCACCTGATTGTTAAGAGGATACTTACTTGTTTTTGGCGTGACATTCATCAACGGTTAAAAAAAATGAACAATTGCATTGTTAGTTTTTTTTCTCAAAAACAAATCAGAGGTCACCACGACGCAGTTTTAAATGGAACATATTTTTCAATATACATGTACAAGCAAAACGGCAGCATTTATGGACACTGTGATGTTTGTTTGAAAGCTTTGATAAATATACGTAACATATGTAGGTACAAGAATAATTCCGTTTTCAGTCCTATCAAAAATGGAATGCGCCTTGAAAATATGGAATTAATAAGATGACTTCATGATCTAAAGTGTTCCTACCTGTAATACCAATGTGATCACACAATAAAGTATCACGGTTCGGTATGGTTCTATATGGTTTGTACGCTGGAGGCGGTTTGTTGGTGCATTTGACCAATTGATTGGATCTGAGGCCGACTTTAGAGTGCTACCTCACTGAAACACCATGCCGAAGACACAGGGCACAGTATTCCACATGGTCGCATTATGCCGACAACCAGTTGTTGCGATTTTCCTATAAATGCTCAAAGTGTAGCACGAAATAAAAACTACCATTTTAACCGCCCTGAGGACATAACCCATCACATTCCCGCCCTGGGGACAGAACCCATTACATTCCCGCCCTGGGGACAGAACCCATTACATTCCCGCCCTGAGGACAGAACCCATCACATTCCCGTCCTGGGGACAGAACCCATCACATTCCCGCCCTGGGGACAGAACCCATTACATTCCCGCCCTGGGGACAGAACCCATTACATTCCCGCCCTGGGGACAGAACCCATTACATTCCCGCCGTGAGGACAGAACCCATTACATTCCTTACTTGGACGTTCAATATCAAGGCCAAAAGTGCGATATTAATAAGGAAGGTGCTCGGAAAAACCCCCATTAAAAATCATCAAAAGAATAGGCAGAAAAAGTCCCCTTTTTCACCGATAAATATTCGTTACTGACAATTTTGATTGCATACAGTATGCCCCGTGATTTTGGTGCAATAAATTAATAATGCTACTTATCACAAAACAGACACCTTGCTTAACTCTAGAAAGAAGAGCGACACAGGAATAGAGAGAGAGATAACGGTCGGTCAGAAACATTATTTATAAATAATTTGATTGATAGAAAATTTGATATCCGGTTTTTTTATACCAATTTCTTTTTAAAGAAGAAGGGAAAGCAAAATTGGCACAAAATGAAATCTACAGTACGATAAGTTGTCCATCCGTCTACGTGAAATAAGTTGCGTTGTACATATATGCTTGTATGTGCTGGTTTAAGTTTTTCATATTTTTCAGCTTGCTGTTCATATTTCACGTTCATTTCATTGTGTAAAGCGGTGAAATGCTTTTGGAACATGTGGAATACAGAAAGAAGAAAACGTTGAAAATTTCATTATTCAGTCAAAAGTAATTTATTTTCTATTTTAACTATAAATTCAATGTAATACTTAATGCTAACACAACTAACATTTGTTGGATATAATTATAGAATACCATTCTAAAAGTGATTTTCTGCAAATTCACATTCTTTACATTGGCCGTTTGTTGTCTGGAAGAACTGTATCATACTCGCATGTTTGGTGCCAAATGTCGTCATCGTCCGTTTCCCCATGTGAGTGAGGACCAAGACGAAAGTTACTTACCCCACAGGGATTGACTTAAACTTAATCGATATGTTTGCTGGTTATTGAACGAAATTGCACTGACACATACAATTACACGAAAGAAGGTAATTCTGCAAGAGACATTTTACAAAAAATATTATATTCGACTCGTAGCAGATTGTTTTTAAAACAACGTTTTATTTCGTTCCAATGTAAACAAATATTAAGACAGCATACCTGGATTAGACTTCAACGCACTATGATTACACTGCACTTTTTCCTATGGCATCTATTTTTAGCATTGATGCATGACCAGTTTAGTTAATCGTAGTGGCGGAAACACAGGTAGAGCTCGCGTTAGTTGAGGTAAGTAAAAAAAACCATGAATATCGTATTTGCGTGCTCAGTTTACATTGTTGTAGTTAATGAACTAGCTCCAATGAACAAAGTGGATATGTACTTTGGACTGTAGTTCTCGGTAGAGCTTATATTATGGGTTAGGCTAATGTATACTTTACACTCATGTTTGAATTGACGTATAATCAATTTGGGTGTATGTTAGCTTATTCATATCCACTACAGGGTCGTATGGTTAAGAATAGTGGAATGAACACCAACTATATCTATATGTTATGTCTTTATCTCGATACTGATTAGCTCATGTAACTATTGCCTTACATACCTAGTTTTATACTGCAGTACCGATGTACAAATACCGCTTATGATATAAAGATGTTATAATAATTTATGGTTATATATTGGAAAGCATGAATGTTTTCTCTGGGGATAAGTCTCTCTGTATGCATGTATGTCCAACATTCATAACCTTGTATCAAACTCTTACCAAATACATAACAAATATTGAGCAATTGAAAAGAGGGTGCATGTTTGCTTTGCGTGCTT